GCGACACGCAATCACCCTCGAACGCAAACGAGACACACAATAAAGCAAGCGGCAGGCATGCAAGATAATTGCGCATGATATGTTACGCAGAAAATACACCATAAGGGGCCGTTTGCAGCAGCAGCAGCAACAACGGCCATCTTGAAATTATAGAGTGCGCTTAATAGGGGAAACGAAGAATGCAAGAACACGCGCTGATCCTAGATGGATTTTGCACGATGCTTTGTTAACCATGTACCAAGTCGTGAATGTGCGATTATAAATATAAACGATTAGAACTTACAACGAAGATGCGGCGCTCGCTTGGTCCCGAAATTAAACCCACTAAAACACAAAATGTCGACGAGCACGACAGTGTACGAGACAGTATTGTGTGACAACGACGTGGACCTTGGATCAATGCGATCGGAGAGACCTCTTCGACTTTATTCGGCGACTATCGGCAAGCCAGGGACGGCTCTGTTATCTGGGCCTTTTGTAAACGGGCTCTGTACACAATATTTTCCAACAAATGTAGGAAAATTTCGGCGCACAACAACAGATATATTCGAAAATTCAACTTTTCTCAAACCTTATTGCGTGACTAAGTTTTCGAGTAGTTTGAGACTACTTATTGTTCCGACGATTCCAATAAATAGATAGTAGATTTTATTCCGTTGGGGCGCGCACGAAAAGAACTGTGCGTGAGTCACTCCTACGAGCTTACGAAGACTCACGAAGTGAGACGAATACGAAACGAAGACGAAAGAGCCATCCAAAATACTAAGGTCTGTTCTACAATACAGTCGTAAGCTGTAAGTCGTAAGAAATTGACCAATCACAGACAAATTACAGAAGAATAATCGATTGTGATTGGTCAATTTCTTACGACTATATTGTAGAACAGGCCTAAAAGAGTTCTGACTGAGGTAATAAAGTTTCTCAAGTTTCTAATATGTATTTTTTAAATATAAATACATAAAGGTGCATTGTTAAGTAATTGCATATACTTTATTTAATTCACAGATTGTTGTTCGACAAGATATTTACACCGCTCTTTGAATTGTAACAATTTCTACGTAGTTTTGAATTTATACTGAGAATATAATATTGCTATCGACGAATGTGCGACCTAATTTTTCACACATTTGTTTTTATCTACCTATAATAAACCAAGAGTGAACTCTCTTCTGGAAATTGTTAAAAATATATTAAAGCCGAAATCTGGCAAAATACGAGATTAAGTACATATTTTTATTCACTGATTATGTAATCCTCTTACCGCTGACTGTGATAGATAACATTGCTCATAACGATAAAGTCGGCATACGGTGATTAGAAAAGAACTTTTGAAGTATTTTGTAAATTTTTAAATATATCTTGTACAAGTGTTTATATAAATATAAACACTTATATATATATATATATATATATATATATATATATATACATATAATGTTTATGTATGTAAAACTTTACTTAAAAAGTAATTCATTTTCATATACACGTGTATACGATAAGTAGATACGTGTCTTTATTGAATAAAATGCAAATCAATCACATTTGACTGAGATATATATTTATATATACACACACTAGCATTTTTTATACGAAATTTCATACCTGAGTCCAAATATTTTCAGTTATCCATATAAGACCTTTTCTCAGTAGTTGTTGTATCATACGCCACATCATAATCGACACTAACAAAATATTGCAGCAGGTGCTAGATATATTTTATCAAGGACATGTAAATACGCGATATTTAGCGAGTCACACAGAAAGACATCTCACAAATATCAGTTTAAAGACTGACGAAGATAGGCCCTTGTACGTAGGTGGCACCACATCACTAGTGCTGACAATTGTATTGTGTTATCATTTTTATTACCGTCTCCCGCTTTCAACGAATGGTCAATTGAGAGGATATCATGACTGATATAAGATGAAAATAACGGGGTGAATGTGCGCGCGCATATAGACACGAAAAAAAACACTTCGAAATTAAGATTACGTTTTGTCGTAACAAAAATTAAAAGCGCCGTATAGATTCTGCAGCACTTTTTACAGAAAGTCTGCAAGATTTTGTAATTTTTATTTAAAAAAAAAAAACATTAAAGTAGAAAATAAAAAACTAAAATAATAAAAGATATTATATAAACTCTGGATTTTAATCTTCCAGCTATTTTACATATTTTAACGTTTTTGCAGTTTGTTATCACGTTGGAATTTAAAAACATACATGTAGAATATGTGCATGTAGAACAAAAGAAAGCTGCTTACAACATTACATGTTTACCTGAGTTACTACGCCAAATGAAATATACTTGGACTGGTCATGGGAAAAGTAATTCGCCGCCGTCGACGTTATCGCTCCTTCCGGAATCGTCCATAATTTCCTGCACGTGCGCTGCAACAAACGGAAATCAAATATCAGTATATATAAACCGCATCGTTTACAATTTATAGTTTTTTTTATTTATTTTGTCGCAAGTGGAGAACACTGCACAAATTTCAGTTGACTCAACTCTTTTGATGCGCCGATTAACTTCGTAAACAAAATAAAAAAAAAAAAAAAAAAAATCAGATCTTTGTGAACAACCGATGCAGAAAATTCAACGCGGAAACAAAAGAGTTCGCAACGATCACTCTTATGCAGAAAGAAAGCATATGATATGCACACACACGAAAGAATAAATCTTTGTCCAGTCGACAGAATGTCGATAATACGCGAACGCTAGGTCAAGTGTCTTGCGTACAAAACCACGTGATTCGCATGGAGTTGCGCCAATGATGCACGCTAGAGGGATGAATTTGTTGCGAGTAAGATGAGACTGCGGATAAATTTTAAATTGCGTCGATAATCGAAGTTAATTAAATCTCTCGATTTAACTGGCTCGGTTGCAACTTTCTAAGTACTAATCTCACACACAATTGCGGAACCACAAATTATACACCTAAGGCGTCCTCGTTACGTGGCGACTTCGAGTAGGGTAAAATCAGACGGACGGACGCGAAAGAGCTACCTGCATAACGGAACACAGTCGACCTTGAATACGCGAATCTATCGCGTAGCAAGACACGTGAATGTCGCGGATAATCCTCGGGGATAACCTGAGAAGAAATCGCAATGCGGAACAAGTACACATCATAATCGCGCGCGTAACACTCACCACAAGTAATCGCTCTAGGTAGTCCACCTTATCGTCCGGCGCTTGCGCCGTGGTGGCGGTGGTGGTTTTCATCCGGTGTGTAACATCTTTCGGCACTGGGTGAAGGGCAACGGGCGGTCTATCGGGAATTTTGGTATCCATTGTATTCGGTTCTTTAAAGTGCTGAAATAGATTTTTATGGATCAGGAACAGATGTATAAAACGGAAATATGTCGCTGTGTCACGTGTGATGTAATTATTTGATATGATATCACAACGTTGATAATATAAATGATAATAAAAAAAAAAAAAAGATTGATTAATACCAGTTTACAAATCAAAAGACATCTGTGCAGTAAAGGGACAGCGGCCGCGGCGAAGTTTTTTTCAGAAAATTGTTGACGAAAGTTTTTTTTTAGATCGTGTTTCTGTCGTTTCTTGAGATTTTGAATAAGAGTGACGTTTGTCGATATAAATCGCTCGCGACGCGAAAACAAATTACGGTCAATTTTTAATTTTCATTAGTCATTTTGTTTCAACAAATTCAATTAATTGTATTTCCTTGTGCGTTTTAATATTTTTGTATATATAAATTATTATTGTGTACACGCAAATGTTTATATACGAGATCATCAAGAATTTCTCCCTCTTTTGCTTTGGAAAAAATATTCTATTTTAACTATCAAGTAACGTCAAAAACAAAATCGAAAAAAATGGACTTATCAAGTTCTTCTTCTGTGGTATATATATGTTGTATAAACATGTGTTCATCTTGATATATTAATAAAATACTTATTCATGAATAATTCTTTATTTCTTACTATGTACATTATTTCTCGTAACATTTTTCATGAGTTTGATATGTTAGATTGATCATCGACACGTTCTTTGTTGCACGCTTTTTTGCACATTTCTAATAAATCGCGCGTGATAATAAATTTTCATTTAGCAAATGGCTCAACTACAGATACGAAGCGATGCGCAAACTCGTCGATAAAGCTTGAAATATATTACGTCATATGCTTTGCATAATGAATACCTATCGTTAGCGTATGATGCAGAGATGAGATCTAGGATTGTTATCTACTCTCTCTACACTAACTCTCAAAAACACCCAAACACCGTCCCGAAATTGTGTCAAGAGGTCATACGCGGAAGATCTATGCGGGAGGTTCAGAATTTGGACCACACACACCACGCAATCTCTCATCCGTCCGACCACCTACTGTTTGTGTGCAAACCGAGCTCTCTGCTTAAAATTCCAATCCCGTTTCAAGCGCAGTTGCATCAATATCTCTTTTATCGATTAATCATTAAATATTCATTATTTCTTTCCCATATATTTGCTGTAATAAATATAATCCATTCGAAAGTGTGTGTTAAACTATATCCAAATCTTAGACCGAAATATCCGACTGGTGCAACTAACGGCATTTCCGGGAATCGGAAATAATATTAAAGTAATTATCACAAGCATAAACCTCTCGCAAACATAAACGTCTGCGACACGCCGAGATCGCGTGATGAGGTTTACCTTTTACCACCCGAAAGAGGGATGAGATCGATGCGGTTACCGTGACGACGGGATCGTCAGAGAGGCCGAATCGCGTGCGGATGACGGCTGCTGCCGGCGAGCGGGGGTTAGCGCCGCGCGCGACGATGCAGTGACGACGACGTCGNCGTCGCCGCCACCGCCGCCGCCGCCGCCGCCGCCGCCGCCGCTGTTAAAGCTCCGAGAACTGGCTCTCGGAAGGGCGACATCGTGCGCCCGTTCGCGCTGCAGCCGTAGAGTGAAATCCTCTTCTCCGAGACAGTTGGTTCGCCGCGCGCGTTCGCCGTTGCACGACGCTGTTCCGGGTCGGCGAGCGACCGCGCCATGCGGAGACGGGCCTGCCGCACCAGGACATCGTCACGGACCACGACGGAGTACAGCGTGAAAACAACGGCAGCATGCAGGACGAGGCATCTAAGGTGTCGCATCCGGAGGAAATGCCGACCAAAGTCCTGCTGCTGCGACGATGGAGCGACATGCCGCGGCACCTCCAATTCAATCCGCACATCCTCACCGGCTACAGACCGCTCATGACGATTCGTCAATGCCTCGGTAGTCTCTTCTACATACACAATGAGACCGTCAACATCCTGACGCACGGTGAGAGTGTGATTCGAGATTTCTCGCGAGTAAAGAAACGGCTGGGTTTATTTTTTTTTTCTTTGAAATTCGACTATTTCCTTTGCACACATTGACTTCTTAAGCTCATCTTTGTTTTGCATCTCATGCGTCGCGAATTAAGTTTTTTTTTTTCGGAATCTCTCATCGTTTGATCGTTATAAACGTACAAAAAAATACTCTTTAAGCCATTAATTATAAGGCAATTTGAATTAGGAAATTACAATTATGTGCAAAAAAATTGAAAAACCCCAAAAATGAAACAAAATATTAATAAACATAAATATTGACAAAAATATTGATAAACATTGTCAGAACACATATTTTCACTGAAAAAAATTATACAGTCACACATCATTAGAAAGGAGGAGGGAGAGAAAGAGAGAAAGAGAGAGAGAGAGAGAAAAAGAATGTTTGTAACTGGATTAGAGTTTTGTAACGTGAAAAAGGATTAGATCAGTTAGGGATTTAAAGTCAAGGTGTGTGTATTACTATCAAGGTCAAACTTCCGTAAAAACATTGCGCTCAACAAAGACGCATTGCAGGGTAACGGACGATCGATGAGAAACGAATTCATGTAATATTTCCGCTAAAACCGATCCTTCGATAAATTTATTAATAATTCAAACACTGGCAAAATACTTTTTTAACGTTTGCGGATAAATAATCAGTTTTTCGATGAAATAAAAGAAGTAGCGTCGCAATTATTTCTATTCGCGTGACGTGAGCTTGGTCACGCACAAGAACACACTCAACGCGAACATAATAGCGCCAATCTAAACTGAAGTTTTTTTTTTTTTTTACAAAAGAAAACAGAGAGTGATATTTCTGTGTGCCTTCGTCTCTTTTCAAATTATGTAACATATACGAACTTTTCTTTTTATCATTTTCTTTCTTTTGTGGTTTTTTCAATTACTTAATCGTTTCTGTATCTTTTTTTTTTTTTTGTGATGTATCCCCGTGTGTATATGATACATCTCTCAAACATCGACCCGCACACATATGCATGAAATAAAATCCTAGTAGGTCAGAGCTTCTTCACAATGCGGAGACAAGAGCTCGTTAAAATAGTTCGCTGTATTTTTACTTGGTTTTAATTAACAAAAGCTGAATTGTCATAATTTCTTGCGGAATATCATGTGTGTTTAAAATTAAAAAAATAAAATAAAAAAAAATAAAATAAATATAATCTGAAAAACGCGTCAATCAAAAGTACTTTGTATATTCTGTGTTTTCAGGATTCGCTATTTTGTACATGCTGGTGACTGTGCCGCATCTGCTTCCGTGGAATACAAAAGAGACACTCGTGGAAATTCTGTCCTGGTGCCATTTGATTGGCGCGGTCAGTCCGTGGATCGGATCTTTCTTGTATCATCTCTTTATGAACGTGAACTACGACGAGGTCTTCTACAGAACACTGCTAAAAGTCGACATGATCGGCATATGGCTATGCCAGAGTTTCGGTGGTTCATTTATAGATGAAGCGCAGACCTGTGCGATTGCTTTGATTTTTTTATTTCACGTGCGATTAAATTTCAGGAGCTATACCGATGATGGCGGCAGCCGTCCATTGCCTTGCCGATAATATCTGGTACTGCTGCATTTTTATTTACTGTTTCCTTAGCATTTGGGGTCTTTTAAAGGTGATATATACAAATTTATAAAATTTTGTACATTAAGGTTTGCAACGGATCTTAGATGTTACATGATTTGTATATAGGCAATGACTGCGAGATCACCGTGGGAAAGGCGATTGTGTTTCGCCCCTCCTTTTCTGATGAGGATGTTAGTAATGGCACTTAGGTGTTTCGGCGTTAGTGGCGGATCACCTGATGCTCTTATTCATATAATATTACAGGTTTAATATTTTGATTTTATACTTACATCTTAACGTTAATATATAAAATATATAAAAATATATATAAAAGCAACGATTCGTCGAATAAGAGTCGGTACAAGACGCTACTATTATATTAGCGATAGAAATTACATATATATATAATAAATGTGATTTTTTTGTTGTAGGATCTCATAGCTGTGATAGGTGCAACAATTGGTGCTCTCCGCATTCCAGAGAAGTGGATTCCCGGTAGATTGGATTTAGTGTTGAACTCCCACAATGTGATGCACGTAATGGTCGTTTTGGCAGTATGTTCCATGCATACTGCAACGTTGAAGGATCTTGCCTGGATGTCCGATCCGTCTGCGTGCAACAAAACAAACTCTCTTCCCTCTGGTCGCGAGGAATTGTGATGAAGAACGCGACGGTATTCTGCAGTCTGTGATAAATTGAGCCTATAACAACTGGCGATCACATAGTCGAGCGCTTCGTGTCACTCAGAGACCAGAAAAGTGCTGAATTCTATACTAGAGATATATAAATTTACAGATTAAATTTAAAGAAAAAAAAGAAATTATATATATATACATAAATATTATATATAAAACAGAGTTTAATACACTGTTACTTAATTAATTTATGTGATCATCGCGGGAGGGTTAAGTACAATCATGAGTACAAAGTATATATTTATCATATCGAATATCTCACAAAATTGGGAATATATGAGGTTATTCTGCAAACAATAAAAAAATCTTAAACTTTAAATAAAATTGAAAATAAAATGAAAGATATATGAAGTATCGGTGAGCACGAGAAAAGCGAAATAATCTATTTTATTCAATATTTGAGAGATAAAAGATAACAATTCTCCAGTCTAAAAAAATTAAATAATTCCAACTTATATTCTAAACTTTAGAAATTAATATTTCTCCAATTGTATGTCTCTAAGAATCTTTTTATTTTAAAAATATTTCTCTGTGAAAAGAGAAGAAGATATGAAATAAATTAAAAATTTATGCGATTAACTCTTCAAACAATAAGACCTAATTTTACATGTAATGAGTATTTTTATCACTTTTCTTGTTACAATTCGCTTAATATCTTTTCATGATTAATTCCTAAAAGAATTTATTGAAAAACACATTTAGGAATTTAATAGAGTCAATTGTCAATAATATTTTACGAATAGTGATATATGTTATATATATAGAACTGACTTAAATAAATAAAAAGGCAATATAATAAGCACGTAAGAGTATATAAGAAATATATTTATTGCTGTAAAACAATAACTCAGAGAAGATATATATATTGTGTGTGTGTATATGTATATACATATATATATATATATATAAATATATATATATATATATACATATGCATATATATGTATATTCGAACAACAAAAATAATAATATCTTCGAATCATGTAAGCTTCTACTAGTCGAGTAGTGTACAACATGATTCTCAACGTCCATTTTCTCAAGTCGACGCAGCTTTATATCCAGAAAATAAAAAGAAAATTATTGTAAAAAATTATATCAGTGGACGTTAAAATTTATTCTAAACACATCTCGGGTGATGCCATTTTAACTTAGAAATACTAGAAATGTAAATTTCACTTCGTAGACGATTAATTCGTATTGTAAAAAAATAGTTTATCGATTATACATTAATAAAACAGTCAAAGATAGATTCACAACAAAGAGCAATATGTGTAGTAGCGCAAAATACGAATGTATATTCTCATTTTGAATAAGGATTGACTTACATGTCTTGCAGTTTGTGTAACACATGTGTAAACATATACATCGTTATATCTTCATTTCATAAATTTTTGTAAATCTTAGCTCGCAATATATCCGAAAAATTTATATATAATTTTCTTATGTTTAATTTCAAACTTAACTATATTAAATATGAGCAAACATAATTAATAAATTATTATAACAGAGTCATGATATTTTTCACAATATTCGAAAAAATATTTTAAGTTCTTAACTATACAATTTATGAAACATAATACAAGGCATTATATATTAATGCTTTGGATAATTATATACTAAAATTCTATGAAGAATTTATTTATATATACTTTAATATTGATTGTGATGTGTTGTTATCGACATAACATACTTCAAAAGGTAGTTGTGATTCACAGGTTGTACAATGTACTAATAGAAACCGTTATAAAATATAAACAACGTGATATACAAAATAAATAAAAACTGTCTTCAAAAATATGTATATTTTGACTTAAATCGGCATATATAAACGCACCACATTTTATTGAAATTATATATCTTTATATTCACCTTTATGTTTACAATTTTTTTTATAGTGGCAATTTGCTGCATTTTTTTTTTTTGCTATTTATTTTCTTCCAAGAATAATTCATATTGTACTCTCACTGTCCTTACAACTTGATTTTTGCTATTATTGCAACGGAGCTTCGCTTTCCTGTGTGTAACTTTTTACTCTGTTAAATTTAAGGGGTGGATACCGACCACCAATCGCCGAAACCCTGAATTCTCTCACAGATGGCTCCTTCAAGCTAATCTTTGCTTCTTGTCCGTTTTTATATTTTGTGAAAATAGTATAACTGATCCACTTCAATTGCGAGTTTAATCTTTTGTGATAATTTTGTATCTCGAATTCCTAGAACACAATACATGTATGCAATACAAATTTGAGATTATTGTACATATTCAAATTCAACATTTACTTACAATGTGGAACGTTTGCTCGCCACTATCGTGTATTGGCTCCCTTTTCTTACGTCTATAATTAAAATTGACTCCTTTGGTTTCTTGTTTTTTCAGCACCAAAGTAACACAATTATCGTGCAGTCGGTAGTGACCAATCAAAACTGACGGATTGCGCGGTATACGATTTCGTAAAGAATTTACGCACATTTGAGCTTCATCAGTCGATGTCAGCATTAAAACTTTTCCTTCGGGAAAAAATCTAAAAAATGCAAAAAAATATTGATAAGATAGAGAGAGAGAGAGAGAGGAAGAATTAAAGCTTGATATTACTGGAGTAACAACATTTCTAATATCACACTGATTAGTTATACCTCAGGTACCGAAAATATTCAACAAGATGCCACGGTCGGTAAAACCGATCTTGGAAATTATTCTCTCCATCGCGAATATAACTTATCTTGCTGATGTAACATCCGTTGTATCGTAATCTAGGCCGTTGCAAATACATGTCTCTCCACGACTGATATTTTGGCTCGCAAGTACCGCAATTCACACCCCATACTCTATTAGCAAATTCCAAGCTTAGTTGCATCTATAACCACGCTATGCTAATGTCTGCTAATATTTACCTAACACATGCTAAGCGCCAGATTTCAGTGTCTCGAGCGGATATATAAAATCCGCGACATACCCTTGAAAACATTTCTAACGACCGAAAATCTAATTCCGAGGACACAACCCATCTTAGGATATAAAGCACTATCTCCATTGGTAACGCGGATATATGTGTAGCCTAAATATACAAAATTTTCAAATAAAATATAAAAGTATCGCCATAAGACGAGTGTCCTACACATCACGCACAACATTAGTATGAAAAATACTCACACTTTGATCAATCTTTGGGAAACATACACACTGATTGCGATTTACAATCTTAGACAACTTCAAAAACAAATCAGTTTCTTCTTCATCATCGTCATTGTAATTTTCGTTATCATTATTGGTTGTGAAATCTTTGTCAAATGTATCAAGAGAGTCATCAGTATCAAATCTGTCTCTTGTCTTTGTTTTAGTAGACTCGTACAAACGAACTTCAATATCAGGAACTAGTTGTTCTGCACGTTTATAAAACTGGATTGCTTCGTAAAATTGTCTGCTTTGTTCGTGTTCAATACCCTTGAGAAATAAATTCTTTGCCTAATAAAATAAGTGATATATTCAACACACTACAAAACATTAAGAGATACTGAAACTGTTTTACTATTGTTGACATTCATTATACCCTGTTCTCAATAGATGTTTCATCGTTGGCAATCTCATTGCTAGGCTGTTTCAGTGAATATGCTTTGGGCTCATCACGCTTGGGTGATATTGTCAACTCACGCTGCCACTGTTCTCTGAAAGATATCAGCGCATCCTCAATGTTTCTTCCTTCGTGCAAAGAAGATGCCTCTTGATCCTCTCCTTCATCCATGTCATTGCTAGAATCACTGCAGTTCTGCCAAAAGTAAAGCAACAAATATTTGAGTCATGAAATGACATTGACATGTTACTTGTTCAAGTTCAATAATGATTTATATGTAACACACACGAGTGTTGCATTCATAAGCAGATGTTTATCTGACGATTGAGTTGCGATGCGAAGTAAAACAGTATTTTTGTTTACATTATCAAATACACAAATGCACATGCAACGGTGCACTTTTGACGTGATTAAAAAAATAATACAATATATATATATCACGAAATGACGCAACATAATTTTGTTGTCGACATACATATGTACGATATCGACTTCCCGCAAGAGGTTAAGTTCACCGCTGAACATTTCGGCGTTTAATCGCGCGTTTATTTCGCGATAACATCAGTGATCAGTCGCATCTTTACGTACCATTTTTCTTCCGCTTGAACCTCGTTGGCTTTTTTCCTTCAGCGCATGTACTCTCGGTCGGAAAAACGCACGACACAGCGAAAGCACAACTTCGCCAATAGTACCGCCGCCATGGTTCTCGCCTCTCTGCGTTTTTCGCACAGCGAAACGAAGGCAAGCCGAAGGTCGTTACGTCAGCAGTGGACTATCCGAAAACCACTGATGCAATCTGAAATGCATCGATTATCAATGAGATGTTATCATTTAACCTTCGAAATTCCACAGTTCTGATTTCAGCCTTATTTTTGAAGAAAAATTAGGAAGTTCTTTTAATTTATTATATAAAATATATTAAATGATATGTATACAATTATAGAGACTACCCGGGAAAAAATAGATTAGATCTAACTTAAATTTAACGAGATAAAAAACAAATGGAAAAATAGATCTAATTAGATCCAAATTAAATCTAAATAGATATAAAGTAGATAAATAAATATAAAACAGATTTAAATAAATATAAGTAGAATCTATGTAAAGTTACACTTTTAACAATTAATAATTAATACCCAGATAGCACACAATGTTCTATGTATATTCTTATAAAGTGCAAGTGTTCTTAACTTTAGAATATTCGGATCGAATATTATATAAATATACGTTGAATATTATAATAGAAAATCGTATATTCATAATGAAGAAAGAACGTTCTTAGAATATTTGTCGAGTTTATTTATTGCACATATGTAGTGAACATTAATAAGAAAGCAGTGAAGTTTCTGGTCATACATATATTACATTTACCGTGACTAAGTAGTTTGCACGATACATACGTAGCAAAAAGAAACAAGATAAAATAATAAATATAAAGCATACCCAGAAAAAGTATAAAGTGAATACATTACACAAC